TATACCCAAGATACATTAAGAGAACATAGCTGCTATTAAATACCAACTTTCAGCTGGGACAAAAAGCTGCTACAAAATTTTACCCCCTCATTGCAAGTTCCTTGTCCTCTTAGCCATGAACAGTTGGCGGAGGAAGCCAAACTTCCCTTTTTGTCGACCAGAGAACTCCGTCATGGTACCATTACTTGTTGCTGCTGCCTCATTGGTGAGAGACTCTGACATGGATGGCAAGGGTGGTGAGAGAGTAAAGAGAAAAGCATTGAGCATGCGGATGATCTGGCTGAAGCTGGGCCTCATGTTGGGGTCCTCAACCCAGCATGACTGTACGATAAACGCAAGATCAGGAGATATATCCTCTGGAAGATTAGGCCTCTCTTGCTGCACATTCTTAATCAAGCAGAAATCAGTTAGAAACACAAACAGTTTGGATTCTACATGGTAATAAATGTGATAAAAAGATGGACGCAATCTCTTCGACCTTAAAAGCAGCAGCATAAGCAGCCTGCAAATTGGACATTCCTTCAAATGGCATGCGATTTGTTAACAATTCCCATAACACAATTCCAAAGCTATACACATCAACCTTGTTATTATAATGTTTCTTCTCTCCTTGACGTAATGTCACAGTGCTATATAACTGCACAGACACATTAACTTTAGTTTCTGAAGAATACCAAAATAATCCTATTTACATGCATTACCTTGTCAAAAGAAAGCATCTTCAATCATTCCATCAAATAAACATGCTGAATTCCAAATCAAAAGTAAAAAAAGGGTGGTTCCCTAAAGTAAATCAGAAATGAGTAACGATATTAAATACCACAATCTGTAAAATATTTTGTTCAAAAATGTTTACATATATTACTTTTCATAATAAGATAAATTAGATAAAACTATCATATATTTGTCTTTTTAATTAATTAATGTGTCAAGAAATTCAGATATCATCACCGTATGACATTACTCATCTACTGATGTTATGTATTTTGGGGGTGGGGAGTTGGGGAGAAAACTATTCAAATCCCACGAGATTCAAGATAACTCAAGGATGGGACGTTTCAATTGCCCTCCCCAGTAAAAAACTACTCACAGAGCACGCCTGCTTATTATTTTGAAATCTCTAAAATAATATTCTTTAATAATACCATTTTTTATTCCCATTAAGAAACCAAAAATAATGTTAGTGAGAAGAAAAAGATATAAAATATTTTCTAATTAACTAAAATCTTGGTTAACATGTCTCATAATTTTATTATATAATCAATTTAATATTAGTAACACTGTTCATAAAAGTGCTAGGATAACAAATCATAATCCTTTCTCCAATGAATCTGTAAGGAGATAATTGGTACGGAAGTTTCTATTAGCCCTATTATTAGATGACCACTTGTTGGT